ATTCACTCTTCTTTTTTTTCCTTTAAATAATTTATCTGTTATTTATATCCTTCTATGATTTTAGCTTGTTGTTACCTGTCCTTCTACCTGTCATTATGTAGACAAATTAGACACAATTTATGATCTCTCGATCTCTTCCAATTACTAATCTCTTCTTCCCCCCTCCCCAAAATTTCTGTTTTGCCAGTGTCCTTGCCTGTATGTCATACAGGCTCTCAAGGGATGAATAAAAATCCTCTAGGAATTGCMTTACTACTTTAACCATTGTATCCTCCAAAAAGGAAAAAGATCCTATCTCCTATTAAAAAARCCCTATATTTCTAAACAGAAACAAAAAAATGTAAAGAGCTGGCATAGAACAAAAAAGCAGCTGTTTTTTCTTTCTAGTCAGTTGATGATTTCAGTTTAAACTCCTCAAATGGAAAAATGGAAAACATTTCTGGTGTGTCCCTGATCACAAAAATAATAAATCTATATACTTATTAAGTTCTCTGGTCTGTAAAAGCACTTGAACAATGTCAACATTTTATYGAAACCCACAGAACTCCATGGGTGTTAAGGGGCAAGATTCAGCCCATTCGGATATGACTTCATTCTTGTTGCATTTCCTACAGCATAGACAAACTTCTGTTTTTTGCACAATGTACACTGGTAAAATTTGCATGAGCTTAACCTCAAGGGCACTAGTAGCTGCCGTTGGGCAGCTGCAATAATGTTCTTCACCCATGTAATATTATAAAGCTTTTTTTTATATGGCCACAGTGATCTTGTTGCTTGCTTGCACCTTGACAGTATATAAATACCATCTTACCTTTCATTTGTATGGATCTACTAGCTGTAATAAATCAACTCAGACATTTTAGAATATAATGAAGCACATTTAAAAAAAGAAAAAAAAAAGGAAAATTTTTTTGCCTCCTTTTGCCACACTATGGTCAATAGGATTGATACAAAGAAAAGTGATGGTGCTGCAGGGATTTCTCAAGGCTAAAAAACCCTCTTTTGTATTCATTGAGTTTGCAAGTTCTTTTTCCCCTTGCTTTCATAATAATTGTATCTATGTACCACAGAAACCCAGTTTTAGAATGTGTATGCTCTCCCTGATTGGATTCAAAAGAAAAGCTGCCTTTCTCTGTGGGTTGATATCTTTTTCCTGTCTAATCAGCATGGACTGAATCCTAATTACAGGTTAGGAACTTAATGAATAAACTTCAAGAATATTAATTTAATGCTTGAAACACTAGCAAATAGAGTGAAGTCTCCCTTTAGTGGTATTAGAATGCACTGATGAAAAAACGTGACATAATGGAAAAGCAACCTTTAACAGGTTAGTAGAGCAAGTTTGTAGAGACTTTCAGAAATGTGAAGATAGATAAAAGAAAGTAAAGAAACTGTAATAAAAATGCTATTGTATTAGCATTATTAGCATTATAACTAGCATTATTAACTAGTTGTAATTAGCATTATTAGCATTATAACKATATTATTATTAGCRTAGTAAAATTGCATTCTAACACATTTAAAATATTTTTTACCTACAAACAGCAAAATCTCAACCATGCAAATGTGCATCTCTGATAATTATTTCAAGTGGGCTCAGGGTATATTTGAGTGTACAATCAAACAACTGTTGAACAATCAACTTGCACATACGTTTGTTGGTCATGTCAGTAGCTGAGGCACTTTTCATCTTTTTACTCAGTGCCTTGGAGAAAAGTTCTATCCCCACTCATCTTCTTACTCAACAAGAATTTTCCTGCACCATCATTCAAGGCCAAGTTTGTAAACATGGCTCTTTTACATAAAAGATAATTAATTTATTGTACTCTTAGCAATGTCTATTTATTTCTTTGCTAAGTTTTGTGGTACTTGAAATATTGGAGGTATGAATATTTTGATAGTCTTCTCTTTCTATTTTTTCTTCATATTGGAGAGAAATACTCATGTTTTTTCTTTTTTTTCTGTTTTTGAGATTTTTAAAGGCAAAAGAGAAAGTGGAAATATAGTGGACAGACAGAAAGATATAGTGATAAATACAGGAAAAATAAGAGAGGCAGTATGATGTATCAAGATGTATCTACTATCACCTTTAATATGTGAATGGACACTAGAAGGATTATCATCTAGAATGGAAAAAGAAATTTATATGTACTTTTCATTGTCTTCTCCATATATGAATTTATTTCTCTYTCGGAGAACTTCCTGATTATGATACAAAAGCCTCTCTTTTCCTTTTCAGAGCTGGACAAGATGCAGGTAAAAAGTTGAAAGGGGAATGGTTGTCTTTAATGCTAAAATAGGACTTTTTTATTATTAATATCCTTTTGTTACATATATTAGAGACAGGAAATTGTTAATTTGAATTTTGTTAAGCCTCAGAGACTTAGGAATGTCTAGTTGGAATATTTAAAGAAAATTAAACCAATGTTTCCTTAGTAATGGAGCATGAGAAGGAAATATGTTTACGATTACAGAACACAGACCAATTGGAGCTAGCTAGAATTAAATTGTGGCTCTTCTCTAAAGCGCAATTTAAATTACATCTGTTTCGTTTAATTAATTCTGTTCTCTCTTTACTATTGAAAAACAGGAAGATTTTTTTATTGGCTTTATTTTAAATTTTCATTCTTTGAGTAAAAGGAAGCTCATAATAAAACTCTTAAGATTACACATTGTTACTAAAAATCTAAAAATGTAAACATCCTTATTGACCCAAACTCAGAGTCAGATTTTTATTCTATTTTTGCATAAATTTCTGCTTCCTCTCTCCACTCCAGTTGACTCATCACTTTGATACCGTAAAAGTCTATTGCTAATATCATATAAAAAATAATTGTAGCCTTTGACCCTCCGACCAAAACAGGGAACTACTTCCAAGAGTGTCTGAAGGACAGTATACATCTTGATTCCAAGGCAAGATCCATGTAAGTAACTGTAGATGGACAGTAAGATACTTTAAAGATAGCCATGGCACAATCTATTTTAGCTATATTTGCATTTAAACAGTCTGACTATCCTGAACATTTCTTTGTATTTACTTCTTTCTGGTGAAGATGAATTTATTCTCCTTGTTAAAAGATTTTTTTTCTTCATATTTTGCATTTCTCAGTACATATCTTTGTTTCTGTATCTTCATTGGGAAATAATATCCATGGTCTAAAGTCAATGGACCCACCAAAATTGTTTCTTATTACACAAAATTGCAAAAAAAATTATTGTAATTGATTGAGATTGGAACACTTTATTCATGGTTGTCTAAGTTAGGAAATTGAAAATATAGCTTGAGTTAATAAATAGCTAACACAGTCCTTTTCAAAAGTGTTAAGACTTCAAACATCCATAGAATTGTATACAAAACAGCTGTTGCAAAGACTAACCATAAAACTACCAGTGTTTACAAGATTTTATTATACAAACCTAATGGCTCCCGCGGTTTTAATGCTGTGCAAAATATAGTCTCTCCAATTGCTTATGAACACAAAGCACATCTCCCTGAAGGGACTTTTCTTCTTACAAGCTATCAATGCAATCAAAACTAGTGATGCATTTTATTACATTACTGCTTCTTGAAGAAGCATATTTTTATTGTAATATTTCATAAAGATCTCCTGCTGGCAATGTAAGAAGTAACTATCTAATAAGACTTAGCAATATGCTCTTGCAAACTTGATTAAAAAAATGTATAGTAGGATAGAAAATATAGTTTTTACATTTAAATTTACCAACTAAGAATGATATCTTGAGGCTGAACTACTGCATACAACTTCTTCCATCCTTTTCATTCCACCTGACACATCATCTTCATTTTCAGTTAAAAAAAAAAAAAAAAAAAAAGGTGTTTTGGGTTTTGGATGCTTGCTGAAATGTATAAAAGAGCTTGAAGTCCTGCAAAGTCTAATATGTCTAATATACGCTTGGTATACCTGGTGAACTGAATACATATACCAACCTATATATATTACCTACATATTTGTACCATCATATTAATGCAGCAATGCACCACACAGAAGAAACAAATTCGATGAAAAGAGATAAAACTTCCTGAAACATAGAAGTTTATCTCTATTGTTAGGAATAAATACAATGGTTGAATATTTAGGAAGGTTCATCTTAGCCTGTTGAGGTTAATCCCTCTACTCTGTTAAGTATCTATTAACAACAGAAAGGAAAGACTCCTTTAGAGAATGATTCGGGACAGGAAAAAAACTTAGAATCTCTGACACTATGCATGTAACAATGAGTAACATTGCTGTTTGCTCTTCTATAAATTTGTACATTTGTAGAGCAAAACAGTTTGTGCTGAGGACTGTTCATGCTCTGTTAATTTTTTGGATTTTTATTTCACAACATATTTAATTTGGTCCCATAGGTTGAATCCCTATCAGTGACTGGACAGCATTAGGTACAATTCTGTCATTCAGCTTTTGTTTTAGGTTAATCAGAAAGGTGTCCAGTTTGCTTGCTTTGAGTGCTCTGCAATGTACACCAATATGTTGCAAGGTGAGATTATCTACATATTCCCCATAAAGGCAAACTCCTAATTCTCACTAAGACATCAATGTAGATGSATTTTGAACTTCTCGAAAGTGCAGTTCTGAGAAATAATTGGCTAGATAGCTAAGGGAATAGTTTGATAGCATTGCACATAATAGGAGTAAGTGGCCTATAAAATACAAAGTTTTAGGGGAAAAAAGTAAATCCATTGTAGCTTAAAAGAACTTTTGTCAAATAAAGAGTATTTTTCCAGCATAATTTTGGAATCTGTTCTTAAATATTGCCTTCCAGGTGTCTCTAGGCATTAACATCCTCAGGTATCTCTCTTTAGGATAATAGGGCAATTAGCCTTTGTCTCTTAGACTAATTGCTAGTTTATCTTACCTGACTGTTTCTCAAAGAAACACACAGATAAGTAAAGGTAAAGAGAATAGGAAAATATACCCTTCCATAAATATCAAATTTATCCATGCCATTTACAAGCTACCTATGACCTCTTGCAGTGAAGGCATGGGCCTGAATATTTGAACAGATGGCTTTATGGGGGAGATAACATCTGTTACCTGAGTAGAGGTAACTTTCTGCCTTGTGCAAATAGTACTGGCTTCTCATTCTACTCTGAGCTGTGGCGGCGGCAGCAGGAGCAGGAACAGTTAATAGAGAATTTTGTGAGACTGTATGTGAGCTGGGGGAAGTGTATTTGCTGTATTAGAACACCTATCTGACAAAAGGGAATGAATGAATGAATGAATGAATGAATGAATGAATGAATGAATGAATGAATGAATGAATGAATTTCGGGGGGAAAAAGCAGGGGGTTGTTTTTTTCATCTGTACATGTCTGGTTCCATATAGAGCTGGGAGTACCTTCTCTTGCTGCTGGGAAACTAGCTCCTCTTTTTCCCTTCTCTCCCCTCATTAAAGAAATATTTGGAGTTTTATTGTATACTGAGGAGAATAGCTTAAAAGAGTAAGTTCTACTTGAAGATTTTTAACTTATTTTTTCCCCTTTTTGACTTTTCAGTCTCATAAATGAGTTGACAGAAGAAATTAAACTTGTATGCATATTATACTTTGTACTTTTGAAATATTGTGTAAATTTATCTCATCAATATAAATACTGTTTTGGAAGGTCACAAAAAATCCCCCAGATACGGGCTACAGCAGGCAAGATGAAATAAAATTTAGATTAGATAACCTTTATTGTTGCTTTAGGAAACTAGAGATTCTTTTGTTTGTTTGCTTTTTCATATGTATTTTTTCTTTATCCATTGACTATGTAGAGCTTTTATTGTATATGTGACTGCATTTCTTATGTCCCACGATTTAAGTTTTCTGAGCCAGTAGTTTTTTATTTGTCTTTTCTTCTTTTTTGTTCTTCTATTGCTGCGCTTTAGATCTTCCAAATGTCTCATTATACAATAGCTTTTCAATAACATCATAACCCCTGTAGAGTAAAACAGGTTGCATGCTTCAACAAGTAGGACAGAAGGGAAGAGCTCTTCTGGAGAGCTACTATAGAATTCACCAAGTGGTTAAAGACAGAGTTCAGTAACCCTCATGTTCCTCAAGGAATCCTTTCAGAAAGTGATGAGCTTTTCTGTAGATTTGATAGACTGCTGAGGAGGGAGTGGAGAGAAAGGTTCAACTCTTCTAATGCTCTTCATGCTTTTCTGCCACTGAGATTGCATTCAATTACTTGGTTTTCTCATTGCTAGCCAGTGGGCTGAAACATGGGTGAGGTCATGGTTTGCAGTAGAATACGGATCAATGCCTGCCATTTAGAACCTGGGCAAATTGGGGTAAAAGATGCTACAAAGCGTGTCTGAGAAAGACAGAGTGTTTCTGTTATATTTGTCTAAAATTTGTTCAGGGTTTATGCTTCTGTTTTTTGTTTTTTTTTTTTTTTTGAGGGGGTAGGGTGGTGATCAAGTGCAAATGGAAATGTAGAATATTGTTTAATCCCTCTTTTTTTCTTTTGCATATATACTCTTAGTAACTTGGTAACAGAACCATGCAGTTTTTAACAGCTGTATGTTTTTAAGCTGACATAATAGACCGCAGGTAATCTTTTGTTTTTGTGATGTTAGTTCAATCTAGCATTTGTCTAATCAGGGGGGATGCTCAGAACTAAGTTGTCAGTTTGGATCCTCACCAAATTGCCATTTGAATCAGTCCAGTGGGGTCAGTATGTGCTATGATGATATATCTTCAGGAATAGTCAGGTTTCATGTGTGTATGCATGTTCTGTAGGTAAAGATCCTCTGCGTAGCTGTCAAGCATGATCTTCCCTTGGTGAATCCATACAACTGCTCTTGAGCACCTTCATATCCTCTACATGTTTGGAGACAACAGCCTACAGACTAGCTGTTCCATCACTTTTCCAGGGATGGAGGTGAGCCTGACTGGCTTGTAGTTGCCTGGGTCTTCCTCCTTGCCATTTTTGAAGGCTGGCATGACATTGACTTTCTTCCAGTCCTCAGGCACTTCCCCCATTCTCCAGGACCTTTCAAAGATGATAGTGAGTGGCTTAGCTATGCCATCTGCCAGCTCATGCAGTACTTGGGTGCATCCCATCAGGGCCTATGGATTTCTGAGTATCAAGTTGCCGTAAGGGCTCTCTGACTCAGTCTTCCTCTACGAGGCACCGAAAGTTCCTCAGGAACTTAAGGAAAAATTCCTTAACAGTGAGGGTGACGGAACACTGAAACAGGCTGCCCAGAGAGGTTGTGGAGTCTCCTTCTTTGGAGATCTTCAAAACTCGCTTGGATGCAGCCCTGTGCCACATGCTGTAGGTGACCCTGCGTGTGCAGGGAGGTTGGTCTAGATGATCTCTAAAGATCCCCTTCCAATCATAAGGATTCTATGAATCTATGTTTCCATCCAGGGCAAGTCTTCGTTTCTCCAGACTTCTTCCCTTGTCCCTAGTGTCTGGGATTCTAGAGGGCTACCCTTGGTAAACACTGAAGCAAAGAAGGCATTCAACAACTCTGCTCTTTCTGTGCCTTTTGTAACCAGGGCACCCATCCTGATTACCATTTTACTATTCAAGATGCTTTAAACATCCTTCTGTTTTCCATGCTGAAAGTGACTCTGTGTTTCTCATGGAAGCAATTCTTCTAATCGGCAAATTTCCCTCTTCTGTGCTGTTTCATATTTTGGTGCATCTTCTTAAAATTCCCCTATAATGTTGAAGGAAAAGGTTCACCATARACTTATACAAGCTCAGCACAATATTTTCTATTTCTCTGTTCCTTTTCTAGTAACTCCTACTAACTTGCTTGCTGTTTGAACTACCATGAAATGCTGAGATGATGTTTTAAAGGATCTGACTACAATAGAAAACTGAGGACATACCATAACAACTGAGACTATATTACTGCAAAGATCTTCTTTGAACACATTTGTCCAAGTATGTTTCTTAATCCTGAAGTCTGTCTGTTCATTTTGCCACCCAGAACGAGATTCTTTTCCAAATTATCAGTCAAGYTTAAATTTGACTGTCTTAAATCTTACAAGGTATATAGTATTATTTTTTTCCCATTCCATTCACTAGCTCTTCCAGAACACTTATCAATATACTGAACCAAGATGGTTCTTATACAGCTAGTAGCACAATGTTGTATTCTCTTTGTTTTCTTTATGACAAGGGAGCTACCTTTGTGATGAAAATCTATAATAAACAAGCTCACTTATTGTTCACAGAAACCCTTCTTATTTACTGCTGTAATGTAATGCAGTAATGTATTCATATGTTCTGTTAGTAACTGCTACTGACTATAAAAGTGTCCAAGGAAGGAAGATTATTAAAATGGTACATAAGAATATTCAAATGTTGTGAATACTATAAATATCATTACATACACTTTTGATAAAAAGATTTTTCTTTTACTATAAACAAATATACAATTCTTTCTTCATTTACCAGGAATGAAAATTTGGTGTTTATCTGTCCAAACCAACCTCTTGTGCTATTTCCATCTCTTTAATTTCAGTGGCTCAAATCAAATTCATTTCTTACCAAGTCAGGCTTTTGAAAGCAGGACACAAAGCATTGCTTGTATTGATTTGACTGGGCATATAATAACTCATGKCACTATGATAACATGGGCAAACACTTTATATTTATGCATCTACAGTGTTTCCTTCCTGAGCTTAGTGGTAAGTTTCTCAACACAGGTTTTTCTAAATCAGAGCAGAATGATGAAAATCCAGAGGAACTGTTCAATCAGTCCAAATTAGCAAAACTCTCAAAACTAACTTTTCACCCCTGGAGCATTTATTAAATGCAAAGGTCTGTATTTTGGATACTGTTACAATAACAAGTGAGGGGGATATATATTACTTCAATTTTGTAAAAGTTATAAACATACCCAAGGTATGCTATACTTTACTAAATTTTTTTTGAAGTAAAATATATCATGTACTCTGAAGTTTTTCTTCTTTTTGTTTGTTTGAAACAAGTCATTAAGTTCAACTAATATTCATAAATGTCTGAATTTAAAACTGCTTTCCAGGCTAATAAGTTGTTTAATTACTTAAATTGTCTCATATCTATTTCAGAGTCAGGCTACTCTGTGAAGAAATGTATTTCCTTGATTATTTATGTATAAAAGTGGTGTTTTCAAAAGACAAAATTGCACAGAATAGCAATTAGGAAGATTGCCTTCATTTCATCTATCAAACTGGTGAATGTCAGGATTCACTTCACTGAAACCAGTGGATTTAGATTAGATGCTATAATATCTTGATAAATGAAAAAGAGAGTGAAATCTTCCATTTTATACTGCCTCAAACTTAGCTTCAGGTTAAAGTACTGCACCCCATTAGTCATAATGGGATTGCACAAGAGTTATTCATAGAAGGAATTTATCCAGCATAACAATGCTCCATTAAGGATAAATGCTTTTAGAATGCTTAAATCTTTGTACAGTTTTCCGCTTAGAAAAAAAAAATCTAATGTGATGCTATTTCCCTCTTTTAAAGTTAAATCTTAATCATCTGCTTTTATAGCAGCACCCTGTGCCCTAGTAAACTTGCATCCATTTACCTTATAACAGAGAAACCCTAGTCTCTTCCACTGAGTGTATTTCTGCCAGCATGCCAGACCAAAACACTATATCTATGGCTTTTTTTTTTTTTCTTTTTAATGAGAAAGTAAATGTCTGAAATTTGTAATTTTTGATTTTTTTCAGAGCACTTGTGGAAGATGAGTAACTATCTGTTTGCTTCTTCCTGAYTGGTGTAATGCTCTCGGAGCCTAAAAGCTGTCCAACAAAAAGTAACTTCAGAGGCTTCAGATGTGTTTTCTAAGAAGCTTTAGGGCTCCAATCACCCAGAAAAAAAAATAAAGGTGACTAGAGAGCATTTGGAAAAGGAGTCTCTTAAAATAATATATCAGTTGAAGTTTACTTTATGATCCTTACCCTTGCTCTCCTTTTGCACTTTTTTTTTTGTTATCATCCTTTCATTAGTGCAGAGCAAAATACGGTGTTTCCTTTAGGGCACTTTGATTACAAGAGAAATCGAGCATGAAAAGACTGTTACAATCTGATAAAATTCTTGTTAAGCTGAGAGGCCATTTGTATCATAAGCCATTATCTTTTGGCATATGAACTTTCTCATCCTGAAGCCACCTCTTGGCAGCAATGCTTATTATTAAGACCATCAAGATTGATACTAGAAGTCATAGCTCCTGATTTCTGATATTGGCATTTTGGTCTATTATTAGCAATATAACAGAGAAATTACCTGAAATGCTGGGGGTGTGTAGGTACATATTGATACCAATATTTCAAATGGAGAGGAAAATAAGGAATATAAAAATGAAAGAGAAAGAAAAACGACATACTGAACAAAGGAAGACATTTACTGGCTAAGAAATAGATATTGTGTAACAAAACATACATGGATAATAGCAAACTAATCTGAAAAGCTGAATGAGATGAAAGGATTAGAACTGCACAATTTTCTTAGTAAAAATGATAAAAGTCTCAGTAAAATGTAATTTTGAATTGTAAAGAAAACTAAAAAGACTATTTATTTTTCCCCCTCTGGGGCTGTTATCACAAAAAGCAAATTATACTGTATCATGATGAATATTTGCTGTGGACTTTGTGTTGAGACTAGTTTATGTAATTTTTTTAGGTTTTAAAAGATGTTTATCACTTGTACTTTGGGCAATACGATCAGATTCAGAGACCTTAAAAGAACTCTTTCTGGAGTTATTTGCTGTTTCAAGGATCACATAAGTAATCTACATTTAAAATTTTGACAGTCTTATCAAGCTTACACCATTCACAGGAAGATTATTTATTCTGAAATTCTATACTGCAGCTAAAATCAGCGAAAGTCATTAAACAAAATATCAGATTTGCAGAAAAGAGATTAGAGGACAATACTTTCTTTTCTGTCCATATTAATTAAAATAGGAAATTTTTGATGACCTTTGGAAAGTAATTTTCTATCACTTGTTTTGCTCTTTGAATATGATTTTGAATCATCAAACAGATGATTTAGGTCAGACATGTTCTTGCCTTTTATTTTTTCTTTTATGTATTACAAAAATATTTTGTAATGCTATACATTTGCTTTGCATATGTTAGATAGACTTACCASTATGCAGCTACTATCTGTATTTTATTATGATAGCTGATAAAAGAAGGAAATGGATAGTTGTATTTAGTTGCTTGTGAAAAACATTTTTTTGGAATGAATGTCTTTCAGTCACCACTGAGGTTTTTTTATTTGTTTGTTTTTGTTTGGTTTTCTTTTTGCCATTTAGATTTGGAGATGTCCAGAATGATAAAGATTACTCAGACAGGTCATTCTCAAACACTGAACTTTCCTTTTATTTCACTTCTCTGACAAAGGCATTTGCTATGAGAGACAGCCACATGAGGATACTGTCTAGATTTAAGCACTGTATGATACCATATCAGATCATATCTCTCAAGTTGTTTGTTTTTCTTGGGGAAAAAAAGCTTTTCTATCATAAAAGTAGCTTTCCTATTCGCATCCATTATTTGTCTTTACCTCTTTCACTGATGCAATGGCATCACAGATTTGGGAAAAAATCAAAAACACGATGAACACTCTTAGCATGGTATTTTTCTACATGCTCTATTGACCAACTACATTTTGCTTTTATTAAGAAAAAATAAATTATTAGGACTGAAGACAAGATTCTCCTAAATTGCATTTTCTGTTTAGAGATTTGTAGTTTCTGTTCTTCATGGTTCACTGCAATGTTCCTTCAACCCTAAAAATAGTCTGCGTCTGCTTTTAGAAATATGTATTGGTGAAACAGGATATGTGAAATGACATCTGAGGCATCACTACTTCCAGAATACCAGAGCTGAACATGGAAATGGTTTTTTTCCCGTAGTATAATGCTATATTGCTGCAAGATGTAAGACCTTAAAAGGAGTCTGTCTACTCTTATTGCCTAACATGCACCAGTCAACTGTTCTTAAATGTTAAAAGTCAGGGCAGGAAATCTAGGAAGAAGAGTGAGAAGAGAAATTTCATTAAGATCTGAACTCGGTATAAAAGAGGAAATGAGGGAAATGAGAGAGAAAAGCAACAGAAAGGGAGAAGGAGTAGGACATAAGGAAAATGGAAATGTAATTTGGAATGGAAAGAGGACTAAAAGAAAGAAAGAAAAGAAAGAGGTGAGAGAGAAGCAACCCAAGAAAAGATTCAAAGGAGAAATTACTGTCAAGAGTTTTAGGAAAAAAAAATCTAATATAAAAATCTAATATAGGAAGTTATAAATTGGCTATTGTCTTTAATCAAGATGGATCCTGTAGGGAAAAATCTGCTAGTAAAGGAAAATATATTCTTCATTGAAACAGGGAAAAAAAATACTGAGTACTATACCCAAATGTGATGCTTTGTTCATCCCTGTGTTGTCTCTAACTTTTAAATTCCTCTGGTAGTGCCAGAAGATCTCATGTACATCACAACATTCATGATGTGGATGTTTTATACTGTTGCAAAATTATGAGCTTGAACATTTTGCATAGAAGGTCTGACTAGATATGTTAGGTAGGAACAGTAACACTTTTTAGTGTAAAACAGTGTACAACAGTGTATAAGTATAGACTAGTATTACAAAAACTATATACACAAGATTACTTTTGAATTACGCTCATTTGTAAATTAAGGTATTCTAATATATTAACTTTTTTATACAAAATCAAAAAATTATTTGTACTTGTTCTAGCGATATCAGACAAGTCATAGATAGGTAAAATAAATATAAATAAGAGAAAAAAAGACAGTCTGAGATCTAAGTTCAAAAAAATAATTGTGTAAATATATAAACATATGGATATGTTTACTAACTTTGAACTTATAAAAACAATAACTTATTTCAAAGAGAGCTTTGGAAAACAATTGATAAATTATATTTACCCAGTAATGTTTGTTAATGTTRTAAGTCATTTATAAACTGCCTTGCTGAAATTTATTACATTATCCATATTAGGACTAAAATATGCCTATATGAAAGAGGAAATAGAAATGATGTTGGTATTAAGAAATTAGGGTGAGAAGTACTAGTAGACATAGAAGACACCGCTCAATAGAAGACACCACTCTGCTGTAAGGTTGTTCAACTTTTGTTTCCTTGAAGTCTCTGGACTGCAAGTGGAACCCCAGCTATTTCGTGGTGAAGCAACCAGGCTGTCCCAGGCACCTCAGAACAGCCCATGGCAAAGTTCAGGGTGTGCATGGGTTTAAGGTGAATTAATAGGCTACAGTATGGTTTACTGTGCATTTATTACAGATAATGAAAGAAATCATAATTCTTTAGTTATACGAGGGAAGCAGTAACTCTTTAGGAGTACACAAGCCGAGACTTATGCCCAGGTGCAGCAAGTCTGAGGGCTGCAAAAGTTTGGAAATGTCTTACAGTGATGTTTTTTGAGAAAGTCATCTCCCAGCTTAAAACCAGCTTGCATATGAAACAAATCTAATTRAGAATCCTAATGGTAGAGGTCTTTTAAGCTATGTTTTTTTACCCTAGGATATATATCACAGTTTTCTGTCTAGAGATGACTCAAAATAGAAAGGACTAAATGTACAGTTATTTGCTGCCTCACGTGTTTCACAAACCCTTGTGGTCACTAAAAGTCCCATCTTTCATATTAGTATTTTACATCTGTAGCATCCTACTACATTCAAATTTGTTCAAGATTTGAGATACTATATTTCTTAATATAACCTTGTGTTTTATAACTGAGCACTAACAAAGGAGTAAAAAGTATATATCATTCTCAAATATTCTTCTGGTGCTTGCAGTTTGGTTCATTAAAATGCTAAATGAATTCAATGCTAACTGAAGCAATAAGGAAAGCAAAGGAAGATATTGTAACTGAAGTAGGAATGTGGACATTCTGAACCATCTTCAGATTTCAGACTCTTACTTTGTTTCCTTCCTAGCACTGATTCAGCTTACAGAGGTCTGCACTTGGACATTTTAAGTCTGGTCTTTTGAAATCAGAAGAATTTTTCTGAAGCTTATAGTCTGACTCTGSTGTGCTCTATGGCCTTAGGAAAAGCGAGGTTGACCAGAAATTACTGACAGTAAATATGTACCTGCMTTTATTAAGTGGACATTGGCTCTGCGTGTAGCTGATGGTTTTAATCCAATCTTTATTACCAAGGATTTTATCATTTGAGTTACATCAAAAATAAATAATTGCTCATCTTACTTAAGTAAAATACATTTCTTATTATTCTACATATGAATAAYAATATGTTCATGTGCCACTGTTGGTGAACAGTTTTTCTGCCATTTTTAATATGCTAAAATACCCCAGATACACATGATAGAAGGCACAGCATAGGAAGTATTTTATATTATTTTTGGTTTCTCACAACTTAATTGTGACAAGGAGGATCTGTTTTAATATGTTAACTGACTCAGAAAAAGGCCTTCAGGTGCCAAACATCTATCTTTGTAATAAAGCCAGAACCAGAGCCACTCAATTTCAAAGTTCTGGGAATCCTCATATTCTCTCTGTCTTCAGCAATTTGCACAGGTACTCGGCCTTCAGCTGCTATGGAACAGCTTTCTCAAGTCTTTCATTTGTCTTTTTTTTTTTTTTTCCTCTATTGCAAGGGAAAATAAATCAAAATAGACTGCTTTATATGTTATAAATATATTATATTTTATACTGACCCCTCAGTGTCACAGCACCACAGCCCCTTGCCCACATTACTACTTCTTGTGTAGTTCTATGAAACTAAGAAAGATACAGAGATTATTTTCTGACAGATGTAGATGGTAGAGACTAGGCACTGCAAACTACTACATGTGTCACCTTCCATATCTCATCCTCAGAGTTCAGYATTACACCCTCCACTATATCAAATAGCCACATCACTGCAGAGTTCTACTCCCTTTGCACAATGAGAGTTAAGGTCAGCACACCTTATCCGTTCCGTGTATGTTTTTAGTGGAAAAACTATAGCAAGCTCTTAAGTATCATAGTGTCCAATTTGAAACCCTACTGTAGATTCTCCTTTGGTAGCCACTTTATATCAGGGATCAGCTGAATATATTTAAGTGTGTCCTATGCACACAAGAATGCTGAGGGAGCATTTGCTCATATCTGATGAAACTGGAACATGCTAAAACACCATCAATGAAAAAAGAGATGTCTAAAAGAAATAAGCTTTCATGTGTTATATAGGGATATAAAAATCAATAAAGTATCTGAAAGATACTATTTCTCCCAGCCTACTTCCAAATTTTTCTTAACTTTCATAAAACACTTAAGACAAATCCATTTTCTATCCGAAAGAGAAAGAAAATGATACCAATTCCAGAGGCATGTCAGGAAAAGTTCATAGAAAGCACAGGAATATAACAATTATAAACATATAATAGAATTACAGAGCTGAATGACTTCATATTAATTTAAAAATAAGCAGCTGTTTATTCCAAAGCTAGTCCTCCAGCT